TGGAGTTTTGCGTCACTGTGGTGAATTAACTCTTTAATTGACACATATTTCCATCTGGTCACTGCTGCATCTCTAAACAGTCACTCATTTAGTTTCCAGGAAATATACTACTTCATAACTACACATGAAGTAACATCAAATTACATATACAGTGATAGGTGGTATCAATGTCGCCCACTCCCAGACACACACACACACACACACACAAAACACAAGCATCAGTGGAACATATATATTATTAAATAATTGAAATAATTACCAAATTAAGACTATATTGAAATATACAGATGTGGCCCTTTATAACTTAAAATAAAGTGCAATAAATTACAATAAAACCGACAACGCCACCCTTTTTGTTTTAAAAGAGGTAAGGGTCCTCTCAAATAAGTAAAAAACAGCTAAATAAAAAAAAAGATTCAATACAAAGTTCAAGGAGCAACGCCATTAAAAATGCAGAGCGGAGGGAGTTCTGGCACAGTGTTATGCCCCAGTCTAGGGGGCCTAGGACACAACATGAACCGGCCCCATCCTCCCCAAGTCCCAAGCAGCCACAACAAAGATCAGTTGAAATATAAGGAAAATGGTTTATTTACATAAATGTCTTATGAACATTCCTCCTTGAACCGTCACCTTACCGTGGTGGAGGAGTTTGAGAGCCCTAATGACCCTAGGAGCTATGTTGTCGGGGGCATTTTGCCCCTGGTAGGGTCTCCCAAGGCAGATTGGTCCTAGGTGAAGGGCCAGACGAAGAACGGTTCAGAAGATCCCAATGATGAGTACTATCAAGAACCCGAGTACCCGGCCCGGAGGGACACCGGGGCCCCGCCCTGGAGCCAGGCCTGGGGTTGGGGCCCGTGGACGAGCGCCTGGTGGCCGGGCCTTAGCCCATGGGGCCCGGCCGGGCCCAGCCCGAACCGGTTACATGGGTTCGTCTCCCAGTGGGCTCACCACCTGCAGGAAGAAACAGAGGGATCCGGTGCATTGTGGATTGGGCAGCAGACCAAGGCGGGGGCCTTGGCGGTCCGATCCTCGGTTACGGAAACTGGTTTTTGGAACATGGAACGTCACCTCTCTGGCGGGGAAGGAGCGGGAGTTTGTGGAAGAGGTCGAGCGATACCGGCTAGATATAGTCGGCCTCACCTCGACACATAGCGTCAGCTCCGGAACCCAAGTCCTTGAGAGGGGCTGGTCTCTCCTCTTTGCTGGAGTTGCTCCGGGTGAGAGGCGGAGGGCCGGGGTGGGCTTCTTGGTGTCCCCCAGGCTCTCTGCCTGTACGTTGGAGTTTACCCCGGTGGACGAAAGGGTTGCGTCCCTGCGCCTTCGGGTCGGGGATCGGGTTCTGACTGTTGTCGTCGCTTATGCGCCGAACAGCAGTTCAGACTACCCGCCCTTTTTGGAGTCCTTGGGACGGGTGCTGGAAAGTGCCCCGAAAGGGGACTCCATTGTCCTACTGGGAGACTTCAACGCTCACGTGGGCAATGACAGCGTGACCTGGAAGGGTGTGGTGGGGAGGAACGGCCTGCCCGATCTGAACCCGAGCGGCGTTCAGTTATTGGACTTCTGTGCTAGTCACAGCTTGGCCATAACTAACACCATGTTCAAACATAAGGATGTCCACAGGTGCACTTGGCACCAGGACACCCTAGGTCGCAGGTCTATGATCGACTTTGTAGTCGTATCATCAGACCTGCGGCCGCATGTTTTGGACACTCGGGTAAAGAGAGGAGCAGAGTTGTCAACCGACCACCACCTGGTGATGAGTTGGATCAGATGGCGGGGGAAGACGCCGCGCAGACCTGGCAGGCCCAAACGGGTTGTGAGGGTCTGCTGGGAAAACCTGGCGGAAGAACCCGTCAAGATGATTTTCAACGCACACCTCCGGCAGAGTTTCGACCGCGTCCCGAGGGCAGTGGGGGACATTGAGTCCGAATGGGCCTTGTTCCGCTCTGCTATTGTTGAGGCGGCTGTTGCAAGCTGCGGCCGCAAGGTAGCTGGGGCCAGTCGTGGCGGTAACCCCCGTACCCGCTGGTGGACACCGGCGGTGGGGGAAGCCGTCAGGCTGAAGAAGGAGGCCTACAGGGCGTGGTTGGCCTGTGGGTCTCAGGAATCAGCTGACTGGTACCGGCGGGCCAAGCGGAGTGCAGCTGCGGCAGTTGCTGAGGCAAAAACTCGGACGTGGGAGGAGTTCGGTGAGACAATGGAGGAAGACTATCGATCGGCTCCAAAAAGGTTCTGGCAAACCGTCCGGCGCCTCAGGGGGGGAAGGCGGCAACTCGCTCACACTGTTTACAGTGGGGGCGGGGAGCTGCTGACGTCAACTGAGGATATAGTGGGACGGTGGAAGGAATACTTTGAGGAGCTCCTCAATCCCACCAACACGTATTCCGTAGAGGAAACAGAGCCAAGAGACCTGGGGATGGATGATCTAATCTCCGGGGCAGAAGTCGCCGACGTAGTGAAACAACTGCGCGGTGGCAGAGCCCCGGGGGTTGATGAGATCCGCCCTGGGTATCTCAAGGCTCTGGATGTTGTAGGGCTGTCTTGGTTGACACGCCTCTGCAACATTGCGTGGACATCGGGGGCAGTGCCTTTGGAGTGGCAAACCGGGGTGGTGGTCCCCATCTTTAAGAAGGGTGACCAGAGGGTGTGTTCCAACTACCGTGGAATTACACTCCTCAGCCTCCCTGGTAAGGTCTATGCCAGGGTACTGGAAAAGAGGGTCCGATCGATAGTTGAACCTCAGATCGAGGAGGAGCAATGTGGTTTTCGTCCTGGGCGTGGAACTGTGGACCAGCTCTTTACCCTCGCTAGGGTGCTGGAGGGAGCATGGGAGTTTGCCAATCCAGTCCACATGTGTTTTGTGGATTTGGAGAAGGCTTACGACCGTGTTCCCAGGGGCTCCCTGTGGGGGGCACTCCGGGAGTATGGGGTGGATGGCCCCTTGTTAGTGGCCATTAAATCCCTGTACCAAAGGAGTGTGAGTCTGGTTCGCGTAGCCGGCAGTAAGTCGGACCTGTTCCCGGTGAGGGTTGGACTCCGCCAGGGCTGCCCTTTGTCACCGGTTCTGTTCATAACTTTTATGGACAGAATTTCTAGGCGCAGCCGGGTGGTGGACGGGTTTGGTTTCGGTGGCGGGAGGATCTCGTCTCTGCTTTTTGCGGATGATGTGGTCCTCCTAGCTTCATCGAACGCCGACCTTCAGCTCTCGCTTGGGCGGTTCGCGGCCGAGTGTGAAACGGCTGGGATGAAAATCAGCACCTCCAAGTCTGAGGCCATGGTTCTCAGCCGGAAACGGGTGGATTGCCCGCTTCAGGTCGGGGGGGAGGCTTTGCCTCAGGTGGAGGAGTTTAAGTATCTCGGGATCTTGTTCACGAGTGAGGGTAGGATGGAGCGGGAGATCGACAGGCGGATTGGGGCGGCGTCAGCAGTGATGCGGGCGCTGAATCGGTCCGTTGTGGGGAAGAGAGAGCTAAGCCGGAAGGCGAAGCTCTCAATTTTCCGGTCGATCTACGTTCCGATCCTCACCTATGGTCATGAGCTTTGGGTAATGACCGAAAGAACGAGATCGCGAGTACAAGCGGCCGAAATGAGTTTCCTCCGCAGGGTGGCCGGGCTCAGCCTTAGAGATAGGGTGAGGAGCTCAGTCATCCGGGAGGGACTTAGAGTAGAGCCGCTGCTCCTCCATGTCGAGAGGAGCCAGTTGAGGTGGTTCGGGCATCTAGTGAGGATGCCTCCTGGACGCCTCCCTGGGGAGGTGTTTCGGGCATGTCCCACCGGGAGGAGACCCCGGGGTCGACCAAGGACACGCTGGAGGGATTATATCTCTCGGCTGGCCTTGGAACGCCTCGGGATTCTCCCGGAGGAACTGGTGGAAGTGGCTGGGGAGAGGGCCGTCTGGACCTCTCTGCTGAGGCTGCTGCCCCTGCGACCCGGATCCGGATAAGCGGGAGACGACGAGACGAGACGAGACGAGTCTTATGAACATATATAACATCAAGATTGAGTTTAGGCTTCAGGGTGGACTAAGGCCAACATAATAAACATAATCTCCCTGTCTGGAAACAAACAATTAACCTAACCCAGGAAAACAAATAACCAACTGACCTCCCTAACTAAATAAACAGGAAAAAACCAGAGAAACAAAACTGGCAGCCCACCCTTACTACTCAAGTAAAACAACGAACTACAACAAAACGGAATTCTGCAACGAGGTGGCCAGTTGGGAGAAGAGGAGAATGAGGTCTCAGCCGGCGGCCATCTTGGCTCTTTATATACCACCAGATCGGGGATGCAACCAATTACCAATCAGGACGCAGAGCCCTCCCACCAATGACGGCACGGCTGCGGCACACACCTATTTGCATACAAATAAAAAAAATAGAACCTAGGGCGCGCGCACGCACACACACACACACACACACACACAACAGAGCACCCACAACAATATGACCGCGGTCATAACACACAGTCTTTAATAAATATTAAAAACCGGAACAAACAAATAGCCAGTCGAAGCATAAACCAATTACTGTGGTGCCATAAATAAGCACGGTTAAAATGAACCAAGTTAAACAATGTACACAACACAACACAGAGAGAGATGAAGGGGATGCAGGAGTAGCCACGCCTGGGCCGATCGTCCGACACACTGCTTCTTCCTCCACGGGCCCTGCGGGGGATAAGAGCGGCCAGATAACTTGTTCTCCACAGACAATTAACACACGGTCCTTGTTTGTGCTGTTCACAGTGCCTGTTCGTTCTCTTACTCACCGCGAAGGAGGAGATTTTACTCTCCTCCACTGCAGTTGTTGCGCGCACGGCACTGACGGCTTTCTTCCTGGGTCGAGCGATCTGGTCTGCACGGCTGTTCTATCTCTCTGTTCCCAGCGGCCGAACTTCTCCGCCGTCTCGTTGTGTCCCGACTTGTCCTCCTCCAAACTCTACCTGTAAAAGAAAGCTGTTCACCCCCTCTCA